TATTTCAGCTGAAAATGCGTCCTCAATCAACAGGAAATACAAAATAGCTTAAAGAAATGAAGAAGTTAAACAACTAAGCTAACGATCGACAAAAATTTACGTGCGAACAGACAAGTTCATAGTTGAATTTCTGAAAACCTCCCATCTTGGTTTGACAAATGTATGAATAACACTACACGCAGCTTAACACTAGCTCATATCGCCCATACTGAACATCAGATTGACTCTAACAAGGCTTTTAAAGTTATTTATCGTACATCACCCAACCTTTCTCATGCTCAATGAGTACGACTTTTACACGCCACAGAGGTAATCGAAATGCATCTGAACAAGCCAATTTATGTCTTCAGAGGAAATTTGTGTAGTGCATTTCTTTGTCATGACCAATTACATAATATACTTTAGGTTTTACAAACGATTTTCCACTCCCCTTGTAACTCTCTTACGACTTTGTTATTTTATTATGATTTCAATTCAAGATAATTCAATTAACTTGTTTATATTTTGGTATTCTCCTCAGTCATTCTATTCTGCGTTGTCATCATTATCTTGCAAATTTCTCGATTATGTAATAACTTGTTGCTAACGCATAAATGGGAGAAATCTAAAAGAGGCAACCTCCTTAACCTAAATACTCAACTACCTGGGAAGCATCGTCTCAACTACAACCGGACGGAGCTCATGGGGATATCAAAGCGAGGAACAGGAAAAGCAAGGCAAGTCTTCATTAATCTCAAGTCTGTGTGGAGCAGATCAACATCACTTAGAATTAAAATGAAAATAAGATCCGGATTTCCAACTCCAATGTGAAATCAGTGCTACTCACTATAAGGACCAGAGACTTAGAAACGCGTCACGAAGGGGACTTCGAAAAACTACAAACATTCATTAACAACTATCTTCACCCCATACTACTCAAGATCAGATGGCCGGTAAGAAAATATTACAAGGCGAGCTCGTTCTGGGTTTGAACTCCGGTGGGTGGGTACTGATGAAGAGTCTCAAAACAACTGTCTAGCACTCCCAGTTGGTTTTCCAATGGTTCTCTAACAGATGTCAGCTCATGATGAAATTCTCCAACCAATCAAACAATAATCCCTACAACAGCCAATAATTTTGGTTTCATCGGATAGGACGGTCAGAATTTTACTTATGTAGTCCTTATGAATCTCAATTCATAAAACCGGTCATTGAAAAGAACATGACGCAGCAAGCCGAACAACTATTAGCGGACATCCCCTATAAAAAAAGACTGAATCATGAGGACTACACGAATAGGAATTTTCGAAGCATAGAAATTTAATGACAAGATCATAAAGATTTTCTGGAAACCACACTAAAGTGAGTAGGGTATGACTTGCTTTCTAAATACTTATTTTATTTAGTAGAATAATGCTATGGGGTCATAGTACTTTCCTAAGAACATAATAATCTCCAGTTTTTCTTGGATGACTTACAAAAGAAAATGGTAGTCACTCTGAATCTTCCATGGCAACACGACTTATTTATTAACTAATATTATTATTACCAATAATATTTTATTCTACTCTTATTATTACATTTCTGATTCATTAGCAGCATTACTACTATTTTTCAAGAGTTGATTTGTAAGGATTAGATTTGTTTTTCGAATTTGACCACTGATTGATATCAGTTAGAGAACCATTGAAAACCAGCTGGGAGTACTGGAAAGCTGTTACACATCCTAGTTTGAGAATCATCGGCAGTACGCACCCATCAAAGGAGGTTAGAACCCAGGACCTTCCGGTTGGAAGGCAAGCTCTCTAATTGATATCAGTCCGTGGGAAAACTCGAAAAACAAATTTAGTCCTTACAAATCAACTCTTGAAAATTAATCTGATGCTCACTAGTGACTTCCTACAGGATGGAGTTTCCTGGAGTTCTAGTGTGAAATCGTGACCAGTAAGTTCCATCCAGTCGGGAGTGAGGATGGATTTCCCATCAATGACATTGATTGATGGTCGCACTAAAGGTATGAATTGGTAGACGTTAGAATTCATGGGCTGGCCATTGGATCAGGTTCCAGTGGCTGAATAGTATACGAGATTATTATTATTATCATCATCAATATTATTTAGTTCAAAATTATTGATACATTAAAGTTCGTTTACTCACTGATAACTAATTGTTTATGTAAGTAATGTAATTGGAGTGTAATGCATTTTATCTTAAATTTTAATTCCCTGTATGTAGAGTATCATTCAGCTGAGGAAGAGTTTTACCAAAATTTGATGAATTTGCTAAATTCTGCTTTATTAACTTTTTGTTGCTGGTTGTAAATTCGTACGGGAGATAAATGTTTCCAATAAGAAAAACTGTTGAAAGAAACATTGACAATGGGTAAAATGCACAGAGATAAGGAATACCTATACGAAATATGCAATTCATAAAGTGATTTCATCTACTTTACACTACACTGATTCATTCAAGTCACTTAGACCTTTGTGACTTTAATATTTCTAAGGGTAGCACACTCTTCCAATGTATACTGCCACAAAGAGGGAGGAATGCATTTATTTGGTATTTAGTTAACTATGATCTTAGTTAGTGGAATCCACATATCAAAATGAAAGAAGTAACAGACTACTTAGTTATTTAGTAATATGTTTTGTTGATTCATGAAAATATGTTGCTGGTGTGATCACACAATTGGAACCAAACTAACAATATGTATAAATGTGCGTCGGTGGCACAGTGGTTAGGACTCTCACCGACCATGAAAATGGTCCGGGGTTCGATTCCCTGCCGACGCACACCTGATATCTATGGTCGGCCTGCTAAATTTGGGCTACCGATATCACATGCTGAAAATTCCATACTAGTACCAAAAAATACGGTGTGGAATCAAGCTGTAATCAAAAATAAAAAAAATAATACTTCATATGATCTGTGATCAAGATTTGACCGAATAAGACCAAAATAATTTGGCACCGCCGAGTGAAAAGTAGATAGCGAAACCGAAATCAGTAATTCCAAAGTTTCGTTCAGCAAACTGATCCGAACTTCTTTTTTCGATTAATTTCCCTGAAGAAGTTTGGACCAATTTGCCGGACGAAACGTAGGAATTATTTGCTTCAATATACACAATACTGTATTAACAGTAGTTTATAACTGAGAGCCCACGAGTTGTTGAGTGTTTTTTTAGCTTTGCTATTTAACCATAAATATTTTTTCGACAGACTGGATGAGTGTTTACCAGAATCTACCAGGTTAAATACACCAAAACGATTGTTTTATGTTACTCTGCCTGCAAAGGTACTCGAAGCTGGTTTCCCTCGCATTGTGTGACTAAGAGAACAATTAATAGTATTAAGCCACGTATTACTAGGCTATTTATTAAAAGAAAAACAAGCCTAGGACAAATATGTCCAAATTCTAGTTCACTTGAAGATTTCTATACATTTGAATGGCTTTGTGTAACAGGCCTTACACTGACAGCTTACAGATCTGATTTTTATTGCATCTTTTGCGTTCCAAGCTGTTTCATCAGCCTTTAAGGTTTTAGTTGCAGTCTTATTGTTCTATGGTTTGAGGACAGCAGTCACATACGTCTAAATCTTCCGAATTTTTCGGGCGCATTACCAACCAGTAAACTAGGCGCGGGTCAGGAGTGAATCAGTTGGGAATCTAACCTAGACTTCCTACATGGCGGCTGGTAAGTATTCTACTACTGAATTATCGACACCTCCAACCGATGACGGGCATTCTATACTAATCACACTAAAACAAAACAACTTCATATTTAGGTGTTTGACCTTATAAATAGTAATGGTATTAACACTACTCTTATTATTGTAATTACTCAATTGTCAAAATAAGAGATTAAATCGTTATGAAAGCACCATGTCTATCCGTCAATTTCTCATACTTCCCAACCAGTAGGACTTAAACTAGACATTGAAATTCAATTAACTAACACAGAAGAGAAAAACTAAACAAGACAACACGATTGTTTAATCTAACGCCAGAATTAAAAAAAAAACAAATTAGAAGAGTGTCAGTTTCAGTTTCAAATAAACTTCACATATACACACATACACCCAATCTATCTAGTGTGGAATATAGTGGACATATGTGTTATGTATTCAGATGAATAAATCTACAGGAATACTGATATTATGAGTGAAAACACAGGAAGGCTGGTGGAGTTCTATTTAAAAAGAATATTACATATAATATATGCATTTAAAAAAGTAAGTACAGAGACAATAGTCAATAAAAAAAACTATATTTCGACTTGTTAAACCTGACTGCTACGACCAGAACTTTCATGTACTACTATTATGAACCACACCACCAAACTGAAAATAACGCGTGACTTTAAAGATGGTTCTCGCAACCAGAAATATCTCATAGACGTTAACAATGAAGTGTACAAATGGTATCATCTTCCCCATATATATGAAATAAACAATACATCAACAACCTGAGATTTTGACTGCACGAAAAAAGCCTTTATTTATTAAGTTACAATTTAATGGTGACTTATCTAGTGAGACTTTGTTCCAGAGACTAACCAGGAGTACACGGAGAACGTTTCACGCAGCATACCTATGTTCGTCCTTCTCTAGCCGATGAATGATTGGAACACAAACGAAGGATAAGCTAGATAGTTTTGCCACATCTATGTGCATTTATCAATTCAACTGCACCTGCGGTGACAGTTATGTTGGGAGTACTACTAGACAGCTTAGCCAACGTGTTAGTGAACATCTCCCATCGTGGTTTGGTAAAGGACAGACAAAAACAATCCGTAGCTCCATTTTATCACATTTAATTGATAGTGGTCATGTAGTGATGAAAACGAGAGCTTTCAAAGTAATTCATCGTATCCCACCGAATCTTTCAAATAGACTTCGTATTCGTCTACTGCACACAGTGGAGGAGGTAGGCATTCGAACTATTAAACCTAAACTATGCATTCAAAAGAAATTCGTACAGTCATTGTCCCTTCCTTGGCCTATTAAGACATAACCAACTAATGACTTCTACACCACCCCTTGTTTACATTTTAAACCCCTTTCTTATCATCCCTTAATCTTATTACATCTTCATTATAAACGTGTCTCATTTACTTCCCTTACAATCAGTCTAACATTACTAAATCGGTTCATTTGTTTTTACTAGGCTCTATCAACTACTTCCATCTGAACATTTGTTTGTTTAACCATGCTGTTTTTTCAATATTCGTGTTATCATAGATTGCCTCACTTTTTCATCCTTATTAGTGATAAAACCATTATTCTTATTATTACTATCATTACTACTACTACTACTACACCAACATATGTTAAAACCGCAGCTTCTACAGCCAGTTGGAAAGTTGTTATGATTACCATTAGTCACTCAAAATTGATCCAATACATACTGCTACTATGATATCGATGTCTGATACTCCTACGTAGTGCACACAGTAACGATCCTAAAAGAGATCGTACTTTTACAGTCTGATTCTGACGATCTACGATTACCAATTTCTATTGATTTCACTCATCAGTAGATCGAAAGTTTTTTTAAACTCATTTAAGCACGAAATTATAACTGAAAACTGTCAAAACACGAGCTGTTTACTAGCGCTGTTTTTGGTGGGACTTGACTTCCAACCCGTACGTTACAAGTTCACACCTCACCACTTCCTTCTACTGAGGGGTTTAGCGGCCAGACAGTCTTCGCATACAACATACTTGGCTTAATAGTCAAATATGCATGTTGTAAGTGTATTTTTTGTTGTTGTCATAGTATTATTATTCGCGCCATTTTTGTACTTGTCAATAAAAAAATATAAATAAGAATCATTTATCTCCCCTAGTTTCTTAATAATAATAATAATCAACATAAAATGAAAATTAACCACTGTGTGTGTGTATGTCTGTTTGTATATACTTGAAAGAGCAAAAAAGGACCAATGCGTAAGAAAACAGCTAAGATACATTTAGAAAACAACTGGGAGAGAACACACAGAGAAAGAGAGGGAGACAAAGAAAAACAGGAGAACGAAGTGATAATAATTTCTCTACCACCTCCTGCATACTTTCCTCGTTTATTGCCTAGTCTGTTATGCTCTCTGAGAATTTCCTAAACCCTGTATGCAATATACGTATGCGTGTTGTTTCATTTTTATCCTTGTTAAATTTCCACTTTCTTGTTACACTTTATTACTTAGCCTATAAAATATATAAAAGCTTTGCTTTGCTTCACTTTGCATTTTGTTTTCATCAGCATCTCTTTTATATGTTTACTTACACGCAAAAATAAGGAAACGGATGGAAATATCATTAAGTTGAAAGAATGTATATATATATATACAAATCTAGGCAACCAAAAATCGTGTTGTACTACTTTTCTTTTTATTTGCTAAGATTATGATATATTTATTTATATGCCCCCGAAACTAAATTAATTCAATAATGAATGTTGAAGGTTAAAACAGATTGAAAAAGACGATGTACCACAGAGAGAGGAAGAGAGAGAAAATGTGACATTTTACCGATTACCTTCTTTCAATGATTATTTCAAACATTTACTAAACTAATTGAGCTGTACTAGAATTAAGTTACTCAGAATAGATTTCTACTTTACCAAGTCATCAGCCACATATCTTGTGTGTGAGAGACGATTATACTATTCAGTTCCATAAGCTGAAGTGTATGGAACAGGATTCGAACCCTGGATCCGGCGTTGAAGAAAGAATATGTAAGCCAATGAACCATACATCACTATTTGAGGTGTTCATGATATTAGCAGCTTTCAATCTGAGAATCATTAATTGCAAGTCATATTTTTTTAAGCGGATGAACTCCACAAACACATCTTCACGAACTCCTAAAGTGACTGAATAAACTTATGAAACATATGAAAAAAAACCCGGATTGATGAGCAGTATGGGGTTAAGTTTGTTACGGTAGTGAACACACTGATTAGATGATAGAAATCTGGACGTTCTTCAGGTGATCTACTCACCTCAGTAAAGACCAAACGTTCAACGTCTGAATTCCTCATCAGATCATTGCTTTTCACGGCCATGTTTTGCCAGAATTCAGTGAGATAGAGAGCAAAACACTTAGCATTACTCACCAATATTAATAGATAGTCAAGCAATTTGTTGTGAAAGCTAAATCAGTTGTGTTTGAATGTAAAGAACTTGTTAGCCATCTAAGGAAAAGAACTTATTCAACTTTCCAAGTGAACTAAGTGATAAACTCAACCACGTCACTCTCAGTATTAATGCAAACTATGCGAAGGTGGGCTGAAAACTAACCTGATTAAAATAATGAGCATGTAAATTTGATTTCAAACTATTATCAAATTGCAGAACTATTGAAAGGCAAAAAGTAATGAGCAGTTGTATCTTGGGGACTAACTTTCCAGTATCAAGTTTGCATACAAAAAAACCCCCAGTAAATCAGTATAACGAATGATAATTATATCCACTCAAATTTGCACAATATGCAGGTACGCACAAAAATACGGAGAAACTGGACAAATAATATCATGAAAATATTATCCGGTGGATGATGACTAGCAGTGGAATTCGGAAGGTGCATTTTGTCCTATTCGGGACTCGTCATCTGGATGCACTTGTGAATAATGGTGTTCCCACTGAGAATGGAACCCAGGACGCTTCACTTCAAATGCCAAAATATTATCTACTAGACCATTTGGGCCAAGAGAGCCGCTGCTAGTTACCATCCACCGAATAACATCAATATGAATCCTCGGGCATTTTCGAAGCATCCCCATACTATGGTATTCGACATATCAACAGAAGCTGAACATTTTGTATCAATCGACCAGCGGGAAAAACAAAAAAAAACAAAAACTGACTTCAAAAAAATTATGAAGAAATGTTCAAATAAGTATGATCAAACAACAACGTAAAGTATTTCTCGCTAAAAATGGGTAGATTTATCCTTTGAAAGCAAAATATAGGCTATGCATATATATATATATATATATATATATATATATATATATATATATATATATATATATATATATCCAAGGTAAACAGAGTTTTAACGCTTGTTTACTGATTACAAAAATTACGAAACTCTCATAAATTCATTGAATGAAGAGATATTCAACAATATAACAATGCGGGAAAAAGAGTAACAATCATTTAGAGTTAAAGAAAAAAAACTTACTAGTGTCTGCTTCAAAAAGCCTTTTGTACGCTTACGCTTCGGTATACCACATCGACGAGCTCGTTTATACGTCTGTTCGAGTAGTGGATCAGTTCCAGGACTCTGTGATTCACTCAGCTTAGTAAATTCCTGGGAGAAGATTGAAAACAAAAACATTCAAATAATTATACTCAGGATCATTTGAAAATATAAAATTTGCTAGAAATTTAACATCAATCGAGCACAATTGTACAAACAGTCGATTAAGTAGGGAAAGAGATCGCCTTGGGGGAATTTTACTTCACAAATCAGTGATCAAAGGCGTTATAAGAGAAAGCAGAATATGCGATTATTTTAGTTCTCCTCAGGTAAGGAGAGTGCACCAATGATCACCTACTTTCACCCCCAACCATTTTCAAGACAGTTCAATTTCTTGGATTTAAGCGTCCATAGAGTATTTCAACTGTCAAACAAATAATGGCATATATACATATATTTATATGATGCAAATTGCAAAGCGCTTACATATTCTTAACTTTACCATTTGCTATTTAAATTAAAAATGCTTTTAAAAGCAAAGAATGGAAGTTAACTCATAGAATCACGTAATTACACCGTATGAAATGATTTAAGATATGTACTACACATGCAGAATGCCAGTTTGCCTGGAGGAAGTATTGTTTTCCAGGTAAAATGATATAAACAGAAGAATAAATTTAAACAGATCAAGACAAAACGCTTATGCATGAAGTAAGAGTGAGAATTGACTGCTGTGGTAGGTGTACAATGTGATATCTTACCTTTAGATGAATAACATTTCGAGTTATTTTTCAGAAAATTAACATTTTTTTATTTTTACGAGTTTGATCAAGGATTGATATCAGTTAGAGAACCATTGAAAAACCAGCCACAGGGAGTAATCGAAAGCTGTTTCATCCTATTTGGGAGATCATCGTCAGTACACACCCACCACCAGGGATCGAACCCATAACCTTCCGGTTACAAGGCAAGCTCATATATCATTCAGCTACTGGGACACCATTCAGTGGCCAACTCATGAATTTTAACTTCTACCAATTCGTGATTTAGCGCGACCACCAACCAACGTCACCGGTGGGATATCCATCCTCACACTTGACTGGTTGGACCTCACTGGCCATTGAATCGGGTCTTATTGGCTGAATGGTATACGAGCTTGTCTTGTAACCAAAAGTACTGGGTGTGCACTGACGACGATTCCCAAACTAGGATGAAACAGCAGCTGTCCAATACTCCCTGGTTTTCAATGGTTCTCTAACTGATATTAATCCGTGGCCAAACTAGTAAAAAAAAATTCAATCCCTACAAACCAACTCTTGAATATTAATTTTTAATAATAATGAAATTTAAAAGCTGATATTTTGTAAATCCCGACAATTTATGGCACAAAACAATCAACACCCAAGCTCACTCGTGATATTAGTCCTTGTTGGTAAATGATTAACACCAAATGTAACAACTTTTTTTCCGAGTTTTATGAAACATATGTCGAAACTTCTAAAGGACAGTGAGTAATTGATGAATTGGACGGTTCGTGGTAAGTCAATGTTAAAATCCTTTAAAATAATTTAAGTATTAGCAGTATTATTTACTATTTTATTACTGTGCGTCCCGAGTCGAACCATAGGGCTTCAAGCTTAAGCTTCAAAGTTTCAGTAGCAGTGGGTTTTTTTACGGAGTGCAGTTAGTAGCCTCACGCCCAACCTCCTATCCCTTACGGGCATACAACCAGTTAAGGGAGGTGAAGGTGTGTGGCGGCCAGAAACTGGACTCCCAGTGGTGAGCATTCTACCACTGAACGAATACCGACGCACAAGTATCAATCTGTTCTTCCTTTATCTATTGGCATTTCATTATGCTCCTGGTTCCATGAAATTTGGTGGTTTTCTCTATCAATAATGAGACAGGTAAAATTCTAGATTGATTTTTTTTCATTTCCATTCTAGGGCAATAGCTTTTGTAGCTGAGATATGCACTGAAACATCATTCTAGACTTGGGACGGAGTGAGAAAAGCGGATAAATGACATGACGACATTGGATGAAGGATAGTTGTATGGGTGTGTATTTGCTGATGCATCACGACACCACCCTTGGATCAAAGTCTGAGTGACTCAAGGCGTTACTGAATATGACTAAGAACCGAAACCAATGGAGAACAACCTGTGATTTCCTTCTTCATTTTCTTCCTGAAATTAACATGAAGTAATGAACGCAACTTGCTTTTTGTATGATACTGTCTCTTAGTCACCTCATTCCTCTTTTCCTTAAACTGTTTTTGAATTATCTTTACTACGTATATTTCTTTATGCCTAGATTGTGTTTCAAATAAATAGCAACAAGAAAATAATTATTTATTTATTCTATCCTAATGATCCAGTTCAGTGTATTCACACACTGTGAGAAGCATGTTGCGGAGAAACAGTTTTTCAGCGACTGCATTCTTAATTGGTGGATGGTGACTAGCAGTGGAATGCATATTTCTCCCTATTTGGGACTCGTCATCTGGACGGGAAAATCTAAAATTCAATTAAATGATTTCATTCTTAGTTCACGTTCCAGTACCACAGACGAAGTTACGACAATAGATGACTGACTAGCTGAGTTTTCAACGTAGAACCATGTACAAAAGTACAGCACTTCGAACTACTACACTTCACTTAGCAAACCTGAATATAACGAAAAGAAATGTAATGAAGGTGTCTAACGCTTTAACCTGAATAGTATTCACCACATAATATCATCGAACATAGGAAGGAGAAAAGAAACACCTATAGTCAGGGACAACTGGTTTCTTTATATATTCCATTTTTAACGGTCATGTCTCAACCGTAAAAAAAAAGAACAGAGAGAACTGACACCAAGTACGCACATCTTTCCATAGCATATAACACCTATATCAAAGGAGATGTAAGCTGGAAAATACCAGATAAGTCTTTTGCATCCATGATGAGATTTAGTCATCAATATCAGTCCATTAGGATTGATGTGATAAATACAATAGTATCATAAATAACATACAAAAGATCACTTACTTAATACTAACACCTACTCAGTGTATAAATATAATTGTCGAGTTAAATCGGTAAGTAATGCATACTATTGTAAATATGTCATAGTAGAATTAAAGTAAATTGCTACTGCCATATTATTTTACTGTATAATATAATGCAAATAACAATCTCTGTGTTTAGTAATGCGACATATCGAATGGGTCTGTCAGCATATATATATATATATATATATATATATATCGTTTCAACAAAGAACTATGCACCGATGTGCAGCAGTTCGAGTCACCACACTCCATGTAACACAAAAAGCAACAGAAGGAAGTAGAAGAAATGAAAATAGAAACAGTGGACAAGGATATGAAACAAAACAAATAGTAATAACAAAGAACAACATAGTTTCATTGGAAATTATAAGTCACAAGGAGTGAACGCCTCTATGCCAACCATTGAGAACGATTTTGAGCCATATCGCCAGTTGTCTCCAGCCTTCATTGGTTTAACCGTCCCAAAGACCCAAACCAGTCAGGAAGTCTACACCTCCCTACGTGGCTAGTTTAAACTAACTGTTGTGGATTTCACTGACTGATGAAGCCGTGTTTCGGTTTGACCATCACTGGCTATTTACCAACCTGATCAATCCTATCTCAGCTAACATTGTCCATTGTCGAGGAAGGCGATGACATACGTAACCAAACCATATGCATATGTAACCTAACCATCTCAGTCGATGTAATTTCACAGCCTCGTTGATTGGTTTTCCTTCCTACCTACCTAGAACTCGACTGAATCCTGACCTCAATATTGCTAACCCTGTTATACCACTTCACACGGGAGAGAGAACGCAGTCATCTATGACCAAAGACAGCAAGCCTCTTCATGTCTTCCATTCTCAATGGCCAGGTCTCACAACCATAAAGGAGGACAGGGTGGACTGCTGAGCAGTACACACGCCCTTTGGTCGATAGCCGACGGGATATCACGTCTACACCAGAAGTGGCGTAAACTGGAATACGCGAAACTAGTCCTTTGTATCCGTGCAGAGATTTCGTCGGCGATAATCCCGTTGGGACCGGCTGATGCAACTTCTCAAATAAGCGAAGTGGTCAACGTGCTCTACCACTTCACTCTCTATTTCTCAGCTAGGAATGAGTCAATGTAGTCCAGTCCTGTAGCATCATCTTACATTTGGCGGGAGCGGATCGCATTCCGAACATTCGTAGATTGCAGCTCAAGGTGTTCAGAAGACTCTGCATTTTGTCAGCGTCTTCACCTAGGAGGCGGAACTATAACATTTGCATATTCTAAGTCAAATGGGTGGTCTTAAAGGCTGTGTTTATGAATACAGAATCATTACACTGAAACAGTTTGCCTTCCATGTGTTTGCTGATTATGGTGTCTGACTGACATATAATTGTGTTTGGCTTTAAGAAATGAAACAGCTGACAACTGTTTAAAATAAACACACAAAAGTAACCTAAAAACAATAAATCTTGTATCCATTAAAGTCTTTACAGGAGGTGAATCGCGAACCCGAATATCTCAGTGGTAAAATCTCTGGCTGTACTACCGGGAGACCCAGGTTCGAGTCCTACAGAGTGGGGAATAAGTTTCTTGAAAACTAAAGATATAACTTGCTGAAGAGTGATAACAAGTACGAAATCTGGGTCCAAGGCTTCCTGCAGATTGCCTCTAACATCATCTTGTTTTTTGACCATATTCGCTTGGTAAAATTTCAACGAAAAACAAAGTCAGTGGGAAGAACGTCCATCTAACCAATTTTCGTTTATTTTTATTTTTGGTGTAATGCATATGTAAAGTTGTGGGAGCAACCAATCAACGCCAAGGGACTACCAGCACAGACACATTTCATCCATGGATGATTCCACAAAGCCCACTTCACATTAAACTTTATTTCGAAGATGTTGCCCACAAGGACAGTATTTATCTAGCTCTGGGGACACAGTGACACCAAAAGCATTCAATTCACTATAAAGTTCGTCAAGGTATCTACGTGGGATAGAACTGGCAATCGGTTTATGTACGTTACCCCGTATTTATGTCAATAAATGATATTCAGAAAACACTTTGTGCACAATTTA